TACCTCACTAGACTGTCTTCAGCAATATCTAATTTGCAAAACTTTACACCAGCCCTCACACACCCTCTATGCAGGTACTGCATATAAGCACTGTATGTCGACAATATAATCACATTTTTGAGACTAACCCCATCCTGGTCACTAACACTAGCTCTTAGTGTGGAGAAAGGGAAGGAGATTGTCAGCAGAGGTAAGTTTGTTTGGAAATACATTTTCAAATTAGAAAAATGATAATTTCCAAAACATACATACCTCTGCTGATACTTATAACTAGAATCCCACATTAAGAAGGTGGAGGGGCCAGTGCGAGTATAATTCATACAGGAATCATCTGCATAGAACAAAGGTGTACCATGAGAAGTGGTATCCAAGCAGGGAAAACCGCACAATATCAAGAACAGGTATGCTCTACACCCAGAACTACAGAAAATGCTCTGACTGGATGCAAAAATCTGGGTATGATAGATTGGAAAGAAGAGAAATGTCTGGGAAAAGAATAAGAAAAATAATTTATTCCCTTCTCTGGCAGCGAGAGTGTTCAGTAGGAGGGATCTGTCTGGAGAGAGCAAAAAAGAGGTGGAAGGATAGAGTCTGCTAAACAGGGATGGCAAATAAATCAAAACAGCTGTGTCCAGAAGCTAACAACAATAGAAATAAACCTCGAGGGAAAGGCAATACTAAGAACGGGAGCCCATATGTTTGAAGACATAAGGTGATAACACATGAAAAAAACAACTCCAAAGTCCAAATTAGGCAAATGAAACAGATAAAAAAACGAGATAGCACTGGAGTCAAAAACCTTCATATATGTAGAAGAGTGAGAGGAAGTAGTGAAGGATGCTGTATATAATGCAAGGTAGAAGCCAAACCTTTCAAAAATCCAAGTCAAAAACTTGAAACTGTGGAGACTGTTGGATGAAGTGGGTTGCAGGCTCACCAAAGACACCACTGACAATATGTAGTCCACTTACATTGACAGATTGCCACAACAGGTTGATGGAGGATATAGTCAAATAAACTGAAACTGTATAATTTAAACCTCTATGGTCGGACAAAAAACTGCATAACTCCCATGCATGGTGTTGAATGTTGGACTGAGATTGTCTCAACAAGGATGAATGAAGAGGTAATGGTAAACATTCCTGGAGCAACTGAAAAAGAGGAAACCATGTCTGAGCAGGCCAAAAAGGTGATGACAAGAGAACCCAACATGGGGTGAAATGAGAGATGAATAGGAAGAAAGGCATACAAATGGAATCTTATCATCTTAACTGAAAGCATCTATCGTCAAAGCTTGTGGATGTGAAATTGGAGACCAGAAGTGTAGGTTAGCATACCAATGGGTTGCAAAGGTGTCTATCATTGGAGAGCTGAACTGAAAACAAATCCATTGAAAGACCACCTAATGGAACATCCATGCTGGTGGAAGAACCTAATGGGTCGAGAATGGTGATCTGCGATCAAAGTTCATAACCCCTGGCACATGACAGGCCAAAAGATGGATGTCACTGAAATGAGCCAAAAAAGAAGATTCAAAGCTCGAAAACCAAGACCTCAAGAATGAGTACTTCCCTAACAAGAAAGATATGAAACCACTGTAGAGTAGTCAGAAGCATGATCATTTTGTCGTGCAAGAGAGGAATACTTGGAATCATCATTAGATGTACTGCAAAAAGTTTAAGAATGTTGATATGCAGGATAGATTCGTAGTTGGTCCAAATACCCTGGAATACCTACTTCAGAAGAAAGGTACCCCATCCACGAAGAGGTGGATTTCCACATGAGGAGGTGGTATCCCGACCCTGATAATCGTATTGTTCCTGTCTAGCCACCATTTGAGATCTGCAAATTGTTTGAGCAAAGAGACTGTGTGATCCAAAGGATCAGTATGTGTGAGCCACTGGCTGCGAAATGCCCACAAAAGCGAACTCATATGGGCCTGATCCAATGGCATGAGGGATTCTAGGGAAGCCCAAACCCCCAAAACAGACAGAACCATCCATGCAATGGGAAAAGGTGACATAAGCAAATGCCTGACAATCCCTTCCCTAGCATAAATCTGAAGGGAGAAGATTCAGCTCGTCTCAAAGTGCATTGAAAAACATCCCAAGATGGACCATGTATGGAGTTGGAGAGAGAATGGATTTGTCCAACCTGATATGAAGTCCACACCTTCTGGCTTCTGAAAAGAGAGTCTGTGGATGTAGTGTGGCAATGGGCCAGGATGGTGTCAAAAGTCAATCTTTCAAATAACTATGTGTGCACAGACCCAGAAAATGAAGATGCTGCTCAAAGGCCCATACTACTTGGCAGAAAACATATGGTGCTGAAGCAAGTCCAAACGGGAGAGCTTGGAACTGCTGTATCTAGTCCTCGTGCAAAAAAATATAGAAATCGACGAGAAGACTCTGTTATGGGGATTTGAAGGTAGGGGTCTGCAACATCAAACATCCAAAGATCTGGTGTGAAGTGCCATTGAAGGTGAAGAAACAATTCCATGGTGAAACGAGGAGGCTGTAGGAAGACATTGAATCTAGACAGACTGATGATAAGATGACAATCTCTAGTGTTCTTGGTCACCAGAAAAAGACGAGAATATAATCCTGGATGAACAGGATCGACATTCTGAATGGATAGACACCAAAGCCACTGATGCCATCCCGACCTTACGAAGATCCCTGAGAATATAGATGGAACTGATTCTGTAAACCAATAGGACAAGGTGTTGAAGGTGGGGGCCATGAGATGTGAATGATTAATCCTCCCGAATTACCTGTTGGAGAAGAAGAGAGGCAAGTAGATAATGATGATAAAGAAAACTTCAAACATGCCATATAAAAAGGACAAAAAAGGGGCACCTCCCGGAAATCACAAAGAGGAGTATCTCAATACAGTTAAATGAATCCACGAAAATGAAGATCTGGTAAGAGGGATAACAGGTTCTAACCAGGAACCCCATAGATCCAACAACAAATCCAACTGTTGAGTGTCCAAATTTACTACAGCCAGACTATAATAAGCCAAAGCATGTTGTTCTGATAAGTGAAGGGAGAAAGGCATAGCAATACTCTCTCATAATTAGATTGCAAACATCCCAACATACACGGCAATATCAGGGGAAGGAAGAAGAACTAAGTAATCCCCCCAAGAGCAATCTGACAACAAGGCAGGGTAGACTCAAAAGCAAGTGGGTGAATCCCCAAAGTACACAAAGTACATAAACTTGCATAACTAACTGCAGAAAAGAGGCAGAAAGTAGCCAATCAGATGAGCCCTCAGTAGAGGCATCTCTAGTGATAGAAGGAGCAGAAAACAGTGTCTAAATTCACCATACGATATTCAGTTTCATGATGAAAAGCCAACTCTGAATCACCCAGGCTGCATGAAGGACTCCAAGTCATCCTGAATCAGGTCACAGACAGCCTCCACCAAGAGTGGACCCTCCTCCCCCAACTACCACCAGACAACAAAGGAGGAATGGACGAGGTCTGGTTAACCCCCATGCCAGAAACTGTTACACGGGAATTCATATCCACATTTTATTTTTTGAAGTGCAAAAGAAGACCAAAAAATATCGGCAATGGGGAAAAAAAATAACACCAGACTACTGTCAAAATACTTCAAAAGAAAATGTTAACCACAAAACATAACTCCCAGCACTAGTGCTTTGTCGAGAAAAAATTATTATATTGTCGACATACAGTGCATATATATACAGTATCTGCATAGAGGGAATGTGAGGGCCAGTGTAAGTTGTGCAAATTAGATATTGCTGAGGGCAGTTGAGTGAGATATAAGACTGAAGCAAGCAAACATAATGTTTAGATGGCAAAGATGAAGATCGAGAAATAGCTATAGATGTCAGTGGAGGTATGTATGTTTTGGAATAACCTCTCACAAAGAATGAAAACGAGAAATATAAATCTTGATGACCAGACACTCCATACCCCACAGGTGAAGAGGTAAAGCCTGAGCCTGGCTGAAACAAGAATTGAAGAAAATGCTCGGGTGAACTAATTATTGTGTGGGCAGAAGAAAGGGCTTAGAAAACTTGAGAAGCCACCCAAACTGAGCAGCTTCCTGTAGAAGAAAAGAAATGTGGGAAGAGGATACCTTCTGAGAATGGGCCAAGAGAAGCCAATGTGAAAATGGAATCTCAGCTTCAGGCTGTGAAGGTGGTGAGCAAAGGCCATCAGGATTCAATTGAATACATAAGGAAATGAAAATATTTTGAAGGAAAGAGCACAAAATGGGAAGACTCAATTCCAATGGACGAAATATAGAAAACATCTCAAGAATGGGAAGCCAGGATGTGTAAGAAGGCATCAGACAAGTCACCTTGGTCAGTCACAGACAAGGTGAAAAAGGACAACCAAAGGGAAAAGAAATTTTCCATCCAGAACTCTGAGACAATCAGAAATCAGTAGATAGATGACAGGCCAATTAACAGATGCCAGTCCACAATTTTCTTGGCGACCACAAAGAGAATGAAGTTATCATGAGTGCAAGTGCTTAGGGGGAGTTACTGCACTTGGAAGTTGTGTCACTCTCCTCTTGGTGGAGAGCTATTGTCACATGATGATATCATCATGCACCAGCACAATTCATATTAAACGCATGAATTTAGGTGGAAGTTAGTTCAAGGCTAGTGGCAGATGTACTAAGAGAATAACTGTTCTGTGTGAGGAGGTGAGGTATCATTTCTGAATATACAGTTTCATTTCAAAAGATGTTTCAAAGCTTACATAAATTGAAGACTATCTGCTTTGGGACAATTAAGTCAATATATTCCACATTAGGATATTCAGTAATAATTTTTTAGCACATTACACAAGATAGTTATTCAAGTAGCATGCTCAAGACATTAAAAGCAATTAATATTTCTCTGGAAGTGAACAAAAGTTTTCTTATATATATGCAATTACACTGCATGCATATATAAAAATTTCATCTACTTTGCACATGCTATGAATTTACAATAATGGGTTTAAATTACTAACCTGGATAATTGCAATACACAGGAAGTAGAAGTTGGCGATTCTTTGAAACTGTTCATACAAATTCTTTGGAATAAAGTTCCAAATGGTATACTTAAAAGAAATAAAAATACACAAACATGTATATGGGCACAAGTCAATTTTGAAAGAGTTCTGTAATGAATCACTTATTTTACATTAAGAATAACAGAAACATTAATACCAGGATTCTTAAAAATACAAAAAGTCAAAAGAGATTATAATTTCATTGTATACAGTGGTTAGGCCACATCTGGAATATTGTGTTCAGTCTTGGGATCCTTACTTTAGAAAGGACATTGGTTTGGTTTGTTATGAATTTCACACAAAACTACATGAGGGTTAGCTGCACTAACCATCATTAATTTAGCAGTAATAAGCTAGAGGGAAGGCACCTAGTCAACACTACTCACTACCAACTCTTTTACCACACAGCTGAAAGGATAAGAATGTTCAGTGATGGGGATTTGAACTTGCAGCCCTCATATTGCAAGTTGGGTACACTAACTACCTGGCCATATCAGGCCAGAAAGGACACTGAACTGTTGGAAAGGGTTGAAAGGTGGGCTACTAGAATGATACCTGAGATAGAAGGTTGTCCTACGAGGACAGTTAAAATCACTGTAATTGATTTCTCTTGAAAAAAAAAAAAGAATTAAAGGGGGATCACTTTAAGGTGTTTAAGATTGTTAAATGAATTGAGTGTCAATCCATCCTATTTTTTCATACTTAATAGTGAAAATGGTAGGAGAAGTGGACTCAATTATAAATTTTGGCAGGTTAGGTATCAACTTAAGGGAGTTTGAGGAAATGCTTGATAACTATTTGAAAAGGCTGGCTTTGATTTGTTTTTCGAAGTTTAGTTTAGTGAATTGGATGGCCTAAATGGACCAAGAGATCCCTGGTTGTCCTTAAATTTTATGTTTGGTTAATAGGTTCAGAATTATTGTGGTCTCGTGTTCATCAATCATGTTTATCTCCAGCAACTGTTCAGGGTGAGGAACACTGTTTAAATCTTCATTAGTAAAAACTGAAAAAAAAGCATAATTTAGTAACATAGTCACCTCATAATCATCAGAAATAAGCTATCTGTTATCATCCCTCAAAGGATCTACTCCATCCTAACATTTTGTTTACCCTTAATTCTCTTTCTGAGTGCCTATTGATCTTCTACAGTCCTCTAAGTTCACATCATAGCAGTCAATTAAACTTCTTAAATTTATACTGCCTTTAAGTTTATCCCTTATACTCTTAGTATGCTAATCTGATCTTGGAATCACCCTTTTTTTCTATAAGAAACATCATCTATCTTTAAAAAAAAAATTTAAACACAATTTCCCAAACCTGATCTCTGTTTAATTTAGTTGCCCAAATCACAATAGTCAGTTCTTATTGCATTCCCTTCAAATTTTGCTTTCTTGAAATTTCTAACCAGAATCTTATTATTCCTTATTTCCGTATACATTAAAACATCAATCCTAGCTAAGCAATGATCACTTGCACCTAGATGTTCTTCAATCTCAACCCTTAATCAGCATCATTCCTAGAAGGTTCATTGACCAATTGATGAAGCAAAAGAGCCTGAACAGTTTCCAAAAAACCCTATCTCCCTCACAGTTCAACTCCCACTCTATATACTCGAACTTAAAATCTTCACTGTGAAATTTCTCATTAATTTCATCAATCACATCTGGTGGTCTGTAACAAATTCCAACAACAAGCCTTCTACCCCTATGTCCACTAAAAGAAACCCAAACAGGTTCAACTTCCTTGCTATTCTCTTTGATATCCTCTACTTCAACAGATTGTAACTCACATTTTACATATAAAGCCAATCCTCATCACTTTTTAATACTCTATCCCTACTAAACAATCTATAACCCTGTATTTCAAAAACTGACTACATTAACCATTTTGCTTACACTTACAATTCTTCCTGTACTTTGTTCTTACATTATACTTTGCCATTTCTTTTATTATTAAGCTTGTCTTGGCTCTTACCACTGTCTAGGCAAAATTCAAAGTTGCTTTTACAGTTGAAATAATAGACTCTGCAAACAAGCCAACCCCTGACCTATTTAAATATAAACCATCCATTTGAAAAAAAAACTTTCTTTTCCCATCAAACTCTTCCAAAGAGCAATTTTTTTTCATACTTACATATTAACCTAAACCTGGCATTCAGCTCTTATAGTGACCTACTTAGAATCTAATCAGTACAGTTAAGTTGTGGCATTATCCCTGACAGAACTAAGTTCTGGCCCTTTTCTTTAAATGCATTTATTAATCTCCTGTACTCATCAAACTACACTTCTCTACATCATTAACTTTAATGTACACAATAAAAACTGAATCACTGTTAACACTCTTTACTATCTTATTTGTTCTTCCAGCTGTGTCCTTATAATCTTATTCTTTTCCACCTCTCATTAAAACATTCGCCAATCCCAAATATATCCAGTAAAATCCTGCTACATTACAAAATAGTTTCACTTCACTTACTAATAGTACATGTCATAGTGTTTTGAGGTTCTGCAACATGTATAGCTTTCCTTTCAGAGGGATTCACTTACTTCTAGTGTATATGAACAATTCAAAATAACTTGTCTTCAAAATATAACATAGCTTTTCATACAATAAATTAAGAAGGCTCTAAAAGTAAAAAATAATAAAGTTTTGAGAAATGAAAAACAGACTATTAATATACAATTTCTAATGTATCCAGATTAGTTTTTTAACCAGCCATTCAATATCACCTTTGAAGAAACTACAGTATTGTCTGGAAACCTCTCCTCAAATATGTCTGCTGGGTATTTGTGTCCAACAGAAATTATTCTGGACTGTGTCAAAATTTTTTGACTTGGAGTTTTCTGCAATAATAAAGGAAGCACTTTAAGATATGTCACAAAATTATAGTTGTCTATGTTCCATAAAAAACAAAACAGAAGGATAATATAATTATTCAATCAAACAATAGAAACAGGGTTTAAAAAAATTCATATTTTTGTTGATATATATTTACATGATTTCTTATATATTTTTTCTTTCTTGAGATTTCATATTGTGATAACATGGTAAATAATACTTCCTTTCAGTTTCTCTCTAAAAAAAACACAAGAAAAAGCAAGGTTACAAAAGGCAGTTGATCCCACTATGGTCACCTCTCACGAAAATCAACCACATTGGTTACCAAACAAGATGTTTTGTGTTTTTGTTTATACCTCTCTTCAGACTATTTTTGTAATTTATACCTTAATACATAGGCATACATACATTATTTACATTTTATTACATTTACTTTTTCTTTCAGTGTATAACAATTAAACATTTTACATCTATCAAATTCGCAATTGGACAAAAATATAACTACTTGAAAAATTAAAGGGACAATATGTTATAGCTAAGTTGTCTTTCCAATCAAATAAACAGTTACTAAATCAGTTTCATTAAAAACATGAGTACATATATCCTTTAATTTAAAGTGGGCAGAGTTAAAGTGTGATTGAATCAACATTCCTGAAAAAAAAAAGTAACTCAGTAACAAGTACAAACTTCTTCCACACCTCCCCAGCACTGATACAGTTGCTACATCTTTGAATCATACTTCTGATCACTCAAAAGATGAAATTCCGTGGAATTCAGTACAAAATATCAATCTGTGAAATGCCAAGTTCTCTAACAAAGTATTGTTACGACAGCGGAAGTCACGTGACGCTGGGAGCATGTGCACTGGAGTTTCTAAAAGGATTGTGACTTATCGGGGAACTTCACGAATGTCCCAGCATTTGCTAGATGCCCTCTTTTTTAGTATATAAGCCGAAGATAGATTAAAGAGAGATAATTGAGTCAAGCAAACAGTAGGCACCATAAGTAAAGTGTGTGAATCGCTATGAATTATAGTGTGTGTTTAAGTTAAAGA